TCCACTCTGGCACCTTGCCTCCACCCGCCACAGCGAGCCGCCGCCTCGATCAATTTGCAAGAAAGCACTCGGCATCTCCCCAGTGGAGCCGGACTCCGTCCCCACCCATGTCGTCGTTTGTGGCACACTCTTCCTCCCATCCACTGGCGACAGACGTGTTTGCCTCTTCATGTACGAGAAAGTGGCACCCATAGAGTCAGTCGTGCTCGCAGTGATCCTGGTCCTCAATCTGCCAGGCGGCCTCGTCGGCGCGAACATCACCGCTAGGGTCAGGATCTTGCTCAAGTGCCAATGGGAGTGGACCGGCAGCGGAGGTGCTCTCCTGGAGTTACCAAAGTGGTCATCAATTTTGCAACAGGGGTTGTCTTGTAGTCCAGCCTTCTTAAACAGGGGCCGAGTTGCAAGAAAGTGGAGTAGGTGGAGGTTGGCTCCTAGCCGTCAGATCAAGAACGATCCGACAGCCACAGAGGCGGAAGACGCTCGCATGGAATCGATCGGTTCAAGGCAAGCATTTCTCTATGTTTTATCGGTTATGTAATGGTGTTTTAAGATTGTGTGCTATTTTAATTTATGCCTGGCCTTTCCAAAAACTTGGTGTACGATACTATAAGATCACACGTCAAGAAAAAAAAATACTATAAGATCTTGTAAAGTGGTAGCCCATAAAGTAGCCAAATCTGGCATTCCTCCAACCGGTAGCTGGACGATATACTTTTTTATTATATTAATATTATATACAGCACCCACAAACAAAAGCAAGCTGTAGAAATCTTCTATCAGGCAGTGTGTGCCTAGACGTGGTATTAATTAATACGTATAATACAAGTCTTCTGTTAGTAGCTAGTAAGTTCATGCAGCTCCACACGCTCCACGCCCTCCCTTCAAAAGGCACGCAAAACCATCAAACTCAGGGACTGCCACCTTCTTCCTTTGGGATTTCCGGCGTGGGCGTGAAATGGGAAGGAAATGGCACGCGGTCGCGGTACTGACCATAACGTACATTGTGGTCACCACAGCCATTGGGGCCACTGACAAAGGCCTCTCCATCGCCGGCACCGTTGCAGCAGCGCCGGACGAAGCAAAAGCTGGCCAGCTTGGACGGAACCATCCATCAACACGTGTGGCCGGTAACGATAGTTGATAGATAGAGACTAGAAAGCCCTTCTTCCTTCTGTTGTTTTAATATATCAACTTGTATTTGCATAATTTGTTCAACTATATGTCAGACTTGTCAGTACTCATTTATCCCAGAGAATTTGTGTTGTAGCTAAATATGGACAAATTTCTTGATATGTGCCGTGTTAATTTGGTAGGTTTTGTTGGATTTTCTTGTACTTAGCCCTTGAATGCTGGATGGCGAACTGTGTTGGGGTCATTCGTTGGATTCTTTGGGGCAGCGCTTGGTAGCATTGGCGGGCTAGGTGGAGGTGGGATCTTCGTGCCGATGCTGACGTTGATTGTTGGTTTCGATACCAAGTCGGCGACTGCGATGTCAAAATGTGAGGATGCAGTTCATTTTACTTTCAACAGAAAATTAGTATTCTTGATTTTGTTTTTAATTAGGTTGTAACATTTGCAACGAGTCTCTACATATCTGTCATTTATGGTGCTCTTCTACATATTGTGCATTATGTACTATTAACTCCGTTAGTAAATAGATGATGTAAAGTCCTTTGTATAGATGATGTTTTATAGGCTTGCATGATTTCCAACATGCACCTTTGATCATTACTTTTGAACATATATCTATAAAATTGTGTACTCCCTCTCTCTTAGTTTACAAGGCATGCGCGTATCCCTAGGTCGTGAATTTGACCAATCTAATAGAAGTCATATATTACAAAAAAAAAAATCGTTATAAACTTCAGATGTTCTATTTTCAAACGGTATAATTTTTGTGTTATATAGTTTATATTACGGTGATAAAATTGGCAACCTAGGGGTACGCGCACGCCCCGTAAACTGAAACGGAGGGAGTGCTGTCAAAACATTTTTCATGGCAAAACTAATGATACATTTCCACCACAATAATCTAATTACATATATTAGTTAACGTTCAAAAAATTACTTCATAGTTTGTAGCAAGTCCTGTATTGACGAACGGCGGCAGTAGCTTTTAGTTCTGGCTTGAGATGTTCTCCAAAATTAATTTAGAAACATCTGCCCCAAAATACACTTTGAACGAACTCAAGTGAATATTTAGTATTGAGAAGGTCAAAATGACCACTTAGTGTCTTACAACTCTGCCGGATAGTAGATTGCCGTAGCAGTTAGATCAAAATGAATCCGACAATTTCCCTTCTGTAATTTGACATTAGAAGACATCTCAAGTATTCCATTCAGTAATTAAACATGGATTTTCCCCACACAGAAATTAAACATGGGATTTACTCTTAACATATAGTATATCATAATACATAAAAATACGCTACTCTTATGATTGTTTCTGGGAATCTCTTCCACAGGTATGATCACGGGAGCTGCTGTTTCAACCGTGTACTGCAACCTCAAGCTGAAACACCCGACTTTGAACATGCCAATGATAGACTATGATCTAGCCCTGCTCATACAACCCATGCTCATGATGGGGGTCAGCATTGGGGTTATTTGCAATGTGATATTCCCCGACTGGCTTGTCACAGTTCTCTTCATCGTCCTTTCTCTAGGTTCTCAGATCTGTCCTGAAACTGTGCCAAAAATTTACCCTTTCTAACTTGTAGCTGATTTCAGAATGTTTTCCAAACTTTAATTCCAGTTACTTCAACTAAAGCTTTTCTGAAGGGTGTTGAAACATGGAAGAAAGAGGCACTAATAATAAGGGTACTACGTCTCTTCAGCATCCTCTTGCTAGTACCCTTTTTCCTTTACCTTTTTTTCCACAGTACAAATTGTTAAGAATGTTGATAGGCTCCTTAATTTGCTTTAATATTTCAGGAGGCAGCGGCGAAAAAATCAAACCAATCTGGTAACATCAATAAACCTATAAGTCAGCATTCATAAAATGCATAGAACTACCGTTTATATTTTCTTGATTTCCTAGGTGATCGAATTGAGTACACACCGCCTACCGGATCCGATGCCATAGCAGAGACAAGACTCCCCTCGGATGAAGCGGTGAATAGAAAACCATGAAATCTTCTCAAGCACTATGTGTAAGACACTAAGACTAGAGTTCGGTTGTTGTTGTAGGTATCCATTTGGAAGAACATTTACTGGAAGGAGTTTGGACTCCTTATCCTTGTTTGGGCAGCAATCCTTACACTTCAAGTCGCCATGGTGAGAAACTAATTATTTGGTGTACTATAAGTTTTTTATTGATTAGTTGCTTTACTTAGACATGTCAACCTACATTAGGTTTTATATATAACACATGATACTCCACTCCATTGTGCTCTGCTTTTCCAATCTCATCATTCAGAATATGAGTAAGCAAACCTTAATTTGCACATGGGGATTTTATATTGGGAAATGTTGTGAGAGATTCATGTTAATACCAAAGACCCGTTTGTGTATATCCATGCTGTCTTAGAATCAAGTGCATAAACACGGTAAAATTGGTACCACTACATGCATCACAAGATTTGTTACAATTATTTTATTATAATAGTTGCACAGTTACAATTGATAGATTTCTTGTCCACTAACATTGAGAGAACACATTGGAAATAGTAAGGGTAGAAGTCTTTGTATTAGCCTCAGGCTATCAGCGGAGTGTGAAATGGCTTATTCATCAACATCATCATTGTAGTAACCTTCTCAGTCTCTACCTTCTTGGTCGAAGTCGAAGTAGGAAAACAAAACGACCATACTCGATTAGTCATTTGTGTACTCAGCATGCCACCATGTATATGGAAACACAAGCAGTACTAATTAAATCCATGCATGCTTGAGAAAGAAAAGGCCATATGTCTATGTTTTAACAAGTGATATATTTAGTTGAAATTAGAAGAATAGTACGGATGTACTCTTATATATAACAGGAGATACTCCACATTATTGTGCTATGTTTCCCCTATCTCATCATTTAGAATATGATAATGAAATTAAGCTCGGTGAGATTTACACAAACTGGTTAGAAAGAGAGTTGTGTAAACAGAGATGAGATGAAGGAAATCACTCCGGCTTTTTAATGGGCAAACAATAATGTAATTAACTATGGTAGGACATCTCACCTTCTATTCATTGGTTGGAGAATGATGAAGTAACAATTACAGTAGTTCATCACATACTAGATTTTTCTCATCCAAGGGTTTTATACTACTTCCCAATTTAGATTTGATCCTTTCATGAGATGAATGGTTTCTCTCTTTTTTTTCCTCCTCTCTGAGTAACAAGAGATTCTCTGTAAACAACGCAATCAATACAACAACTCAATAATAAATTACTTGATGATAATCAACAAAAAATACATAGTTTCTTAGGAACCCTAGAAATACCGATGTTAGAATTACTTTCTAGGTAAATCATAACACTGACATTAAAATTGGGCTTATGTTAATTCTTTCATACAGAACTACGTGGAAACTTGCTCCACTTTGTACTGGGTTTTCAGCCTACTCCAGGTACTTTCAGCCTTCTTCACCTCATTATTCAACCATGTTGCATGAAAAATTGATTCCTAGTTACAAATTTTAGATGATTTTAGTGTTCAAGGATGTTTTCATGCCACTAACTAAATTGCCTGAATAAAACCATTATCTATTATAGCTTGAAGATAATTCAATCCTATTATATTTTTTGGATATATTTTCCTTTGATTTTGTATTTTTTTGACAGACATAATATGATTACCCACAAAATAATAGATACTCCTATTATTGCCATTGTGTATCATATGAACTAAGATTTGACATACTAGTATCACTTCATCGTGTTACCATCATCATGTGTTACATTAACATAGTTTCTTTTCCTACTGGATAAGTAAGCAGATCCCAGTGTCGGCTGGAGTGTCCATATACCAGGCAGTAGGTTTGGTGCAGGGAAAGAGGGTGATATCATCAAGGGCAAATACACAGACTAGCCTAAAATCCCATCTAGTGTTGATATGCTTCTTTGGTGTCACTGCTGGTGTCCTCGGCGGTCTTCTTGGCCTCGGTGGAGGCGCAATCATGGGGCCACTTTTCTTGGAGCTTGGTATTCCTCCACAGGTTGATTTTTTTTATTTGTTCATATCAAGAACTTATTCCTTCAATCATGTTTTTTCACTTGCAACCATTTGATGGCATTCTATTTATATTTTATTTTGCTAAGTAGTGCACATTTACTGCATACAAGTAGTAAATAGTGTTGTTTGCAGCGATGCAATTGAGATGGACAATTATGATAACAGTGCCATGGATAATGGTGTGGTTGGTAGAAATGCAATTGACAATGGTGCATTTGATAAAGATGCAGTTGACAAGGGTGTAGTTGACAGCGATGTACATGACAAGGATAATGATGTGGTTGATAATGATGTAATTCATAGCGATGCAGTTGACAATATGTTTCTGCGGCATAATGTTTATCAACTATGTTGCTTATTTACATCATCTCAGTGTTAATAGCAACACGTGCTTACTTCAACTCATGTGGTTAGTTTTTTTCCTTTGTTTACTATAGGATTGACTAGTTAAGAAAATATTGAATGTTTACCATGGAGTCATGCTCTTTACTTATCATATATTCATTACATATTTGACATGTATGTATACCCTATACTGTTGCAGGTCTCAAGTGCTACAGCCACCTTTGCAATGATGTTTTCATCATCCATAGCCGTCATAGAGTACTACCTCCTGAACCGGTTCCCTATACCATATGGTATTGTCTCTCTTTTTTTGTGCTCCTCCTAAGGTAATCGTGTATTACTATTAAAAGAATGTCTTTTGTGCAGCTCTCTTTTTCACATGTGTGGCATTCATTGCTGCAATCATTGGTCAGCTCGTTGCAAGGAAACTGATAAACTGGTTAGGAAGGGCATCATTTATCATCTTCGTGTTGTCCTTCATGATCTTCATTGGTGTGATTCCTCTAGGTACCAGTTTCTCTCTTCTGAATCCCTTCACAACAACCATCCACATCACATCATATCAAAGCCAAAACAACTTTGAATTGCAGGTGGAGTCGGTATCTTAAACATGAAGCACAAGATGGTGCGGCACGAGTACATGGGATTTCAGGACATTTGCAAGTCTGATGCATAGGAATATGCAACTTGAATGCATGTGACCAGTGTGATGAATTGTGCAGTTTGAGTGGATGGAATAGATGCCAAATTAAACCAATGGGATGGACGATCAAAAGTTCATCACCTAATGTAATCAATGATTATATGCCGATCATCCTTTAGTTACTAGAGAATATATATCCTGCATTCACACATGTCAATGATCCTTTCATACTTGACTAACTCAATACATTCAGACTAAAGAATGATATGTAAAAAGCTTGTCGCATTGCTGCCTCAACACCTTCATGGCAGGCAAGTAACTCTTTAATGGAGGGTCATCAACATGAGCATGTTTTTATTGACGTGATTTTATCACCCTTTCCTAGTGTTCTTTCCTTAATACTTCAAATAGTTTTGAAAACACATCCTGGAGAAAAAGGGCAAAAAGAAGTGCGCATACGCGGTAAAATCCAACAAAGCATATCGTGTAGGCATAAAATATAAAATAAAACATAAAATCGTCACATAATTTGGACTCATAAACTCCCCCCAAGCTGAAGTCTTTCTCGTCCCCGGACAAACACCGCAACTTCTAAGAACAAGATCATCTGAATTTTATGAGGCACGGATACACATAGAGGTGTGAGTCCATCACAAACAATGAAAACTCATATTAGGCACATTAGGAAAATCAAATAATCCCCGAACACTTAGGCATGGTGCATTAGCTCCCAATCGTTTCTTGTTTCTTCACATGAATAAAGGAATGAAGGAATAAGAGATGTGAGGCGTGTATGCTTTCAATGACTTGAGACTACCTAGCACGGCATGCAGTGGTCAGTTTATTACATGCAATGGTATTGATTAGCAAATAAACATTATGTTCTTTAGTTTTCCTCTCCACCTTAGTCGCGGTGCACAACCTAAGAGCAAGTATAATAAGGTACAGTCAACATGTTATAAGGAATAAACAATTATATTTGTGATGAGTTGGATGAGAGAGAAGAGGAGAGAGAAGGGAAGCGGGATAGAGATTAACAGCCGGCTACAGCATGGATTCCAAGAAACATTGTGAGTGTATGGTGGACCATGCATTAATAAAGTAGTACTGCTGAGCAACTAGCTACTATACATGTTGGTTATTAGGTTGACTATATGTGACATGGCAACTCCATATAGCTAGTTGTTGGTTATACTATTAAACATGCTCTGAGATGACTAATGCACCGGTACAGAGGGGGAATAAGATAAATGATCATGACGGGCAATAGCGCATTTCCACTATAAGAATGATCACGAAGGCTTAGACATTAATTCATTAGTGAACGAGTATCAACTTCATGCATGAAACCGTCTTTTACTTCAACCGAGAAAATAGTAAGGGGTCTTCTACTTTTTATCAAGAATATTCGACTTCACTTTTTATCAAGAATATTCAACTTCTACTTGTTACCGACTTTACAAAAATATTTCATTAACTACAACTTTACAAGATGATTTCCTTTCTCTTGCTGCTTGCTCTAATTTATTCAATTAGTTTGACTTATGTCTCAACCTTTATATTTAAGCATTTTATTGAATCAGCTGGAATTAAAATGGGCTAATATATGTAGTTATTTCCTTCTCTAATAATTAAAATCAAGTTCGTGGAAGACTTATAATCATCACATGTTTGATCATGCTCTATTACTTGCATTAAATCATCATCTCATACATTTTTCAACTCAGGCAACGATACTAAACATCATGATATTTATAGCTCATCGAAAGACAATCTTCCCTTATTCCGAAAGGACTTAAGAGATTTCAACCTTATCAAACGAAAAGCAGGCGAGCTAATCTTGGCATGCAGAACATAAACACATTACTCTTATAAATGATGCTAGAGTACCTGGCACCTGGGGGGTGTCATTGCCG